GTAGCAGTAGTAGCAGCAGCAGCAGCAGCAGTAGTAGCAGCAGCAGTAGTAGCAGTAGCAGCAGCAGCAGCAGTAGTAGCAGCAGCAGCAGCAGCAGCAGCAGCAGCAGCAGCAGCAGTAGTAGCAGTAGCAGCAGCAGCAGCAGCAGCAGCAGCAGCAGCAGCAGCAGTAGCAGCAGCAGCAGCAGCAGCAGCAGCAGTAGCAGTAGTTTAACATAATACTAGTTCAATTGGCTCAGTGGCTGTAAGGTGGTTTTTCACATTGCTAACGGATGGCGTGTCACATGCAGGGTGTCCATACAAGTGTCTCGTGAGCGATCTATCACAGCTGTCTGTGGTCGGAGCCGGCATCGGAGAGCGAGTCATGGTGGACAGACAGGCGACGTTCAGCGTGTCCGGTGTTACACAGGGCGAGAAACCACACGTCGTCATCACAGGTTATTATTATTATCAAGAGCTAATAATACCATTATAATTACCATTTATTATTATCTGTTATTATTATTACCACGGTATTATTGGCTCTTGTTATTATGAAATCTTTATTGCATGTAATTCAAATACAGATACATGTACTGAAGACGGTCTTTTTCAGAAGAAAAAATCTGATAGATGCATTAGTGTTGAGCAGTTAAAATAATAATATTTCTGAGTGATACAGTACAAAACAGTGCTATACAACATGGAGGAAAAATATATCTGTACAAAAACGACAGTACATTCTGTACAAGTAAATCAATTAAGGTACAGTTTAACATCATTTCAACACTCATACGTGCTCACACGCATGCACTCGCTCTCGTATAAACCTACACCAATATATTCACACACACATACACATGGTGAGCGTGAAGCCCGGCACACACGTGAGTAATTTTACTCAAGTAAAATGATGCATGCGTCAAAATACTCACGTGTGCGCCGGGTTTTCGTTGAGTTTTCTGACGCATGCATCAAGAAACTCGATATCAAACATGTTTGATCATTTTTGACTCATGCGTCAAAACACTCAACGTGTGCGCGCTAGCTGCGTAAATTTACGCAACACTGACATTTTAAAGATGACTGCGCCCAGTATTAGCTGCGCACAGTCACGGGATCTGCATTACCACTTACCCCTTAGCCGCCTTGAGTAATTTTACTCACGTGTGCGGCGGACACTGAAAATATTTCGCGTGAGTATTTTGACGCATGCATCATTTTACTTGAGTAAAATTACTCACGTGTGCGCCGGGCTTGAGGCTTGACCATGATGGGTGTGACACCTGCTCTATGAGTCCCAGGTGATATCGTCCTATGGTCGTATGTATAGATAGTAGCAGGGTCACAATAACTGACGTAGTACGTAACGACAGTGAACGGTGGTATGACCCATCTCGCGCGTACGTTAAAAAAAAGTGCTATAGAATGTTTTTCTTGTTAACGCTTTATTATTGGTGTATTCGTGTAATTCTTGGTAATTTACCTCCTGTTACTGGCGATTTGCAGCAGTGTCATTTTCGTGTATTGTCTCATAAAGATTGTCTCTATCTTGTGTCTTGTTCTTTGCATGTGTCGGGTGATTTGATTTAGCATGTTCTGTTTGAGTAGCATGCCAGATAAAACGTGTATAATAGCACGTTGGAAACTGGTTTGCCGTAGTAATGTTTTTTTACGCCTCACGGTCACTTCATCGCAGAAAACCAAAATAATGTTGCGTTTTTTCAGCTCCGAGTGGCTACAACGTAAACACTCACGCATACCACACGGACAACAAAACCTATACGGTGGAGTACACGCCGAAGGAAGCTGGCATGTACAAGGTTAACGTCGAGTACCCGGCTGGTAGGCACATCACAGGAAGCCCGTTCAACGTCAAATCGTTTGACCCGTCGCAGGTCACCGTGTCTGAAATAAAAAGGGGTCGCGTGGGACAGACGACGGAATTCACAGGTGCGTATAGGCGTATTAGTTACGTGCCGTCACGTTCATGTTATGTTACGTTACGGCAGGGGTTAATAATGACTAATTGTAATTATTTTATGATCATTTTATTATATTATTATTATATAATATAATATATATATATCATATATATATATATTATATTATTATTATATATTACTATTATATATTATTATATATTACTATATATAATATATATTATATATATTATATTGTATTTATTATATTATTATTATGAGATTTATATTTATTTTATTTTATTTATTATTATTTTCATGACAAATTTGTTATTATTTACCCCTGGTTAGTGTGTGTTTAATTTGGTGCGCGATAGTTTTGTCGGTGTGGCGCTCACTCGGAGTCACAGATTCTGCGTTCGTTACAGTGGATGCGAGTAGAGCGGGAGAGGGCAGCTTGGATATCAGCGTCGAGGCGCGTGGGCGCGTGCTTCCCTGCCAGGTGTTCCCTAGAGCCAACGCGGTGTTCGCGATCACGTTCCAGCCGGTCGACGCCGTGCCGCATTACGTGACAGTCAGCTTTAACCGTGAGCCGGTGCCCGGTAAGTGTCCGCTTTAATCGGGGGGTCCTGTGCGTGTGTGTGAACCTGTGGCTGGTAGTGTCTGATTTCATTTTAGGGGGTGCTGATTTTGTGATAGCCAAATAAGAGGGGGGCCCCCGGGGCGCCTTTTGCGCCCCGTTGGATCCGCCACTGTTCGGGTGTACCGTGTTTGGTGTGTGTGTGAGCTTTATCTGTGTGTGTGTGTGCGTGCGTGCGTGCGTGTGTGTGATGTAACTGTGAACCTGTGGCTGGTAAGTGGAAGCTTTATTTGTGAGCATATGCCTGGCAAGTGCAAGTTTTAACAGCGTTCCTAGTGCGTGTCAGCTTTAACCGTGAGCGCATTCATATTGAGTGTAAGTTTTAATAATGTGTGGTGAATGTTAGTTTTAACCATGAGCACGTGCCCGATAAGTGTAAGTTTTAATAATGTGTGGTGAATGTGAGTTTTAACCATGAGCACGCGCCTGATAAGTGTAAGTTTTAATAATGTGTGGTGAATGTTAGTTTTAACCATGAGCACGTGCCCGATAAGTGTAAGTTTTAATAATGTGTGGTGAATGTGAGTTTTAACCATGAGCACATGCCCGACAAGTGTAACTTTTAATCGTCTGCCTGTGGCTAGTGCGTGTAAGCTTAAACCGTGAGTTTATCTCTGCTGAGTGCAAGCATTTACTCTTAGCACGTGTCTGATAAATAAGCGTCCACTCTATAGCTGTGTGTTTCTGTCCGGCGTGTGTGAGCTCCAACCGTGACCCCACGCCTAGTGATTTACCTCGGCACCTCCTTTTATCTTTCTCACAGTACTCTTGCGTGCGGGTTTAGTGTAACCGAACTCTGTGAAAACGAGTGAGCAGAAGTGGCTGTGGGGAGGGAGCACCGGGACACTTCGTCTCTTTGGTGATAACTGTCAAAAAGCATCGATCATCTTAGATTATTGTTTCTGCAGTTTAATCCTTCTGCCCTGGGCGAGACTTATAGATAATACATCGCACCTACCGTGTGAAATCGGTTGCTCTGGCTAACCTCGGAATGGGAGTTATAGATATAGCATTTTCGGTGTGAAGTTAGGTGTTCTCGTCACGTGGTCGGCAGTCTTTGTTCACAAGCATCGCGTTTAATAATGGCAGAGCAAACGTTGGAAAGCAGTTGTGGAGTCGTGCAAACCTGTCCGCGATTTTTGTTTGCTCTACGAGTGTGATAGTTTTAAGTGAACACAACTCGGAAATGATGAAGGCCGAGGGAAATAAATTGGTGGCGTCATTATTTCATCGTGTGCTGTTTAATATTTGCTAGCGACGGGAAATTTCAGACTTTAGTTTAACCGTATTTCCGGTTGTTACTATGACGTTTTATATATATAATTACCTAGCGTTAGTGTCAAATAATCTCCGCAAACTGTGTTTAGTGGAACAGAAACTGGTCATGCCGATGTCAATGATTAAAAGCCTGGGGCCCGTTGTCAGAAACAATATTGATCTTAACATTAGTTTTAACATTAACTTTTTCTCTTAGACCGTTGACAGAAATGCTGCGAAGTTACGAGAATGAAAAATCGTCGCAGATTTCCTCATAACAATACGAAACAAAGTGATGTCGACGGTCTAGGAGAAATTGTTAATGTTAAGACTAATGTTAAGACTAATTTTGTTTCTGACAACGGGCCCCTGGCATTTAATTAAATTCACATAGTGCTTTGTGATCAAATAAGCAAGTAATATCATAACTAATAAATAGTAATAATCAAACCGAACTGGAAGTTGCATCTGCGTGCGTGCGTGCGTGCGTGCGTGCGTGCGTGCGTGTACATGGCGTGCGTGCGTGCGTGCGTGTACATGGCGTGTGTGCACGCACACGTTGAATTCCCTATGATTGCAGTTCTTCTGGTTTGTGCTTTATAATGACGATATATTGTTAGCCCGCGAGTTTTTCACGACTGCGAATAAACCCCGGACAGAGGGAAAAAACCCACCTATTCAGGCGCCTGAATGGCATAGAAAATATCTGAAAGCCCGTGTCATTCACCTCACCATGGATCATAGTTCGTGTGCCACTGTCTGCGGATCGCTATCCCCTCACGGCTGGCGTCTAAAAATCGACTCCTGTGGAGATACCCGTCCAGAGGTCAACTCTAAAGAGGTCGCTCTTTGTAAACATCTCTATTCGAAGCAGCTTCTGTGAGTTCGTCGGAGCGACAAGTCGCCGTTATCCCCACAAAAGACAGACAACTCGCTACCGACGGCTCCCCGCGAATGGGGAAAACATTATCGGTCAAACTGGTTTCCCCTCTCGTGGATTTCTCCGCGGGTTGAGCGGCAGTTCCATCTTGCCTGTCCGTACTTTGCCGGCGCCTTGGCACGAGTGCCGGCACGTCGGTACTTTACCGCTTACAGGCGCGATATTGTGTGTTAGTTTTGTTGATATTTATTGTGTGTTAGTTGATCATATTATGATGCGTGCAATGAGTGAATATGGAGCAAAGACACGGTGATATTGTGTGTTAGTTGATCATATTATGATGCGAGCGAATGAGTGAATATGGAGCAAAGACACGGTGATATTGTTTGTTAGTTGATCATATTATGATGCGTGCGAATGAGTGAATAATTATATGGAGCAAAGACACGGTGATATTGTGTGTTAGTTGATCATATTATGATGCGAGCGAATGAGTGAATACTCAGTGGAGCAAATACACAGCAATGACTAGTTTGGGGTTGATCCAGAGTTATAATCGTGCAGATCTGATACCGTGTGCATTGTTCCACGCTAGATGGCTATTGTAGGATAGGTGTTAAGGTGAAGTCTCAGGTGAGTGTGTTGTGTTGAAATCTCGCTTGTTAATTTTGTGTAAAGAAGAGCAAAAGAAAAAGTGAGTGCCTGAGTGTCGAGGCTGTGCTCCTACCATCTTAGGGAGGAGGAAGTGGAGGAGAGGTAGGAGGAGGGGTAGGAGGAGGAGGAGGCGAGGTAGGAGGAGGAGGAGGCGAGGTAGGAGGAGGAGGAGGCGAGGTAGGAGGAGGAGGAGGAGGAGGGGTAGGAGGAGGAGGAGAAGGAGGCAAGGTAGGAGGAGGAGGAGGAGAGGTAGGAGGAGGAGGAGGGGTAGGAGGAGGAAGAGGCGGAGGAGGAGGAGGAGACGAGGTAGGAGGAGGAGGAGGAGGTGGAGGAGGAGACGAGGTAGGAGGAGGAGGAGAGGTAGGAGGAGGAGGAGGAGGAGACGGAGGTAGGTAGGA